TGTTTTCATCAACAGGAACCACTGCGCCATAAGACGACAGGGCCCCGTTGCGGTAGACGAGCTAGGTAGCGGACCTTATATGGTGCCTGCTACTGGTGGCTGGGTCAGGTCCAGTCTGGGCGCCCGCGGTCGCGGAAGGGAGGCAGGCAGCAGTCATGTCGTCCGATGTCTGGGGAAGGGCGCGTCTGATGGGCGGTGGCAGGTACGGTAACTCTTGCATTTAGGACGATGGTCCGTAAGGAAGGGTAGAAGAATGTGCTCGAGGATCTGAAGGGCAGGTGGCTTTAAAGCAGCGCATTCAACGTGGAATTGGTGTGGTTTATATCGGATCATGTTACATGCCTGACAGCTGTTCTGATTGGAAACATACTGAGAGGATATTCTCGAAAGATTTAGTGAACGATGGTCCCTAACGAGTTCAGAGTACCTATGTCAAGATGAACGGATCAAAGCCCCAAGGAGAAATCTCGGCTTCTCAACGACTAGGCGCCTTGACAAAAGGAGTTATACGTTTGTGAACCATCTTGTACTAGTACCGCATAGATTCGGGGCGTTGGGTTTTAGGATCCCAGGAAATCAGACATGGTCTGCAAGCATGATGCAACATTTATGCCCACCAAAATTTCTATGCAAGACGGTGATTCTGATGTCCTCACCCTCCAGCTCTCTTGAGAAAATAGGAAGAAAAGACAGGGCACCAGAAGAATCGAATTTACAGTGCTCCGGGTTCTTACGCTGTCCCCCCCACTCTTTTCACCAGGCATAAAAAGCACATATTCGTACAGTATACTTCCAGATTATGTCTGATTTCCTGGGATCCTAAAACCCAACGCCCCGAATCTATGCGGTAGTCGTAAACCTGGGGACAAGTATGGAGATGCATTTGCTCATTCCGATGGACCTGCAGAGTTGACCAGTTTACATGATGTCATCGTTCCTGTCCCGGCATTGCAGCTGCTTCTGCCCCAGTGTTCCTTTGAAAATCCAGCCAATCGAATAATAAGGATAAGTGGGGGCATTCTCCAATGCGGAGATGCACACTCGTCACCAGCGGGAATCAATGAACATCAATGGCCCCATGGCGGTTGAATGCGACGGCTAGAGGTATAAAGTAAATAGATGGGAACGGCTGCGGGTTTGTTTGGGAAAAAGAGTTCCAGGCCAATTCATCATCATCAGCAACATACAACCTGCATCCGAATCTAGAGTAACCATCCAACGACCACTTCATATCTACCAGGCAAGCGAGCAACTATCAGACCAATACAAAAATGTCCGCCATCAAACTCTCCACCTCCGCTCTCCGCCCCATCGCCGCGCGTCGCATCGTCCCCGCTGCTACTGCCCGCACGACCGCACCGGCATTCACCCAGATCCGCTCCGTCTCTTCCAACGGCGACGAACTCGGTGGCGTCAAGGGTTCAGAGCCCGCTACCAAACCTAACCGATACAACGTGTGCGTACCTCTATATCCGATACTATGCTTTACGGGTAGAAGTGACAAGCAGATTGGCTGACCTTTAAAAAAAAAACAGGAGAGCCGGAACAATCACTGCTGTTGGTGTTGTGGTTGCTTTGGGGTATATGTTTTATAGGAAGGGGGACAAGAAGGGTACGGCGCCGCTGGGTGCTAGTCAGTAGACTAAGGGATTGAGTCGTTGAGGGAAGGGGTTGATGGGAAGAGAACTGCGAGGGGGGTTGGAAGGATGGGATTGATTGGAAGGCACTGGAGGGAAGGGAATTGGAAGGGGATTGGGAGGGAATGCACTGAAAGGGACCGGAAGCGAGTGCGAGGAGGACGGCGAAGGGATCGCTTTTGCACACTGAGTGCTGCTTGCGCATGGGATTGTGCAGGGCGTGTGCAGGACGATATGAGACCTATGAATTATGAATATATTGCATCAAAGACACATTGATCGCCTCTAGATGCCATTAGAAATCGAATTCGCTGTTTCATGGTTCGGGATCAGAGCGGGAATCGGTTCTGCCGCAGTCTAGCACTGGACCGTTACCCCACTTTCCCCGCTGCCGGGTCCCGGCCGGGTCCCGAACCAGGGCCCCACTTCCCGTCTTTGGTGCGCCGGATCCGAGCGGACTTTGGTAATCCGGTGTTTTCCCCTTATTCACAGCGCCCGTAACGTCCCCGATTCCTGACAGAGCCAATTCTAACAGGTGACATCGAATCAAGTTTCCAACCCCCAACCTTAAGGTAAGCATTAACCTTCACAGTGATCTAATCTCAAACATGTGACACGACATCAGTTCTGCTTCCTCCTACCTACATAGGGACCGGTAAGCCATCCCGCTGCCCTTGTCCTTGTCAATGTCAACGTCAGCTGTGGTGCGTGATGCACGGTTCCTGACTCCACACTGCCACCTCATAGTGTACTTCATAAGTAGGACATATGTACATATGTAGACCGCCTTCTGCTCCCGGTCCTTCGCTCCAGGTTCAACATGAACGTCATCCCTTCCTAACCTCTCAACATAAGTTTTTGTCTTTTCATCAACAACATCAACCTCAGACACGACCCAGCGTAACTCATCCAACACCACCACTAACAGATCACCACCCACCCACCTTCCATACCCTCCCCAAATCACCATGTCAACATCCCCCAAAAAAGGCTACCTCGTCGTCTTCTCCCGCCCTACCCATCCTTCGTTTTCCACATCCCACAACACATTCAACAAATGGTACAACGAAGTGCACATCCCCGACATTCTCCGCCTCGGCCGCCCCGACGGCTTCACTTCTGCCTTTCGCTATACTCGCGCTGGCTTTAACCCTTCCGACCCTTCCTCCACTGCCGATAAGGACTTCGAAGTGACATACCCCAAAAACGAAAAGTGGTTGTACCTAGCCATGTACCCCGTTCCGGACGTGGTGAAAGCCAGTAGGCCTGATAGCGGGCTGTATAAAGCGCCGTTGGTGCATGAGATGTTACCTGGTGGGGGGAATGCGATGGAGGTGGCGAAGTGGGAACTGGGGTTTTGGGAGGTTGTTGGTGAAAAGGAAAGTGGTAAGTTTGATGTCATTTTGAGCTGGGGTAGTTGGGGTAGATGGGGAAAGAGGTAAGGAGGGAGGGAGGGAAGAGGATGGGATGAACTCGTGGGGAGGTAGAGACGGGTTGAGTTGATGGATGATATCGGAGGGGTGGAAGGGGATCAAAAGGGACGGGAAGAGTTGACTGGAAACCCCAAGTGGAATGGGATGCGTTGAGTGATACTCCAACTATTACTACGGGATGATGGATCAACGAGGGTCGAATACCAGACCGGTGGGAAAGGGAAAAGGAAAGAACAACAAGCTAACAACTACCACAGACTCTTCCAAAGACACAGACGTAATCCTAGTTCCCGTCGACTCCTCCGACATTCCCGGCTACGATATCCCCGGCGCTCACCCGTCCGCCCTCCTTGACTACTCCCGCAAGGGCTGGGAAGGCTCGGATCCGGTCCGGTCGAGACTGCTCAAGTACACTGCTCCTGCATATGACTGCGATGGTACTGGTATCAAGCAGTATTTGGCTGTGGTATGTGAACCCTATCTCTCTGCTTTGTTACTACACTTGACGTGTTGAATGGATGCTGACAAGAGGGGAAATAGCACGAAGTGGAACCGAACACGGAACAGACCCTCAAGCCCGAGTTCAAGACGGTCAAGTATAAGCTTTATAAGAAGTTTGGGGTTTGAGAGTTCATCAGTTCTGGTTCACTAGGGGAAGGAGATATGTGGAGACTTAGGTATACGCCTAGTCCTGAACTTGTGAAGTGGTACACTGCCCTATATGGCGTGAGTATGATAGGGTGATGCAGGAAGCTCGTTCAAGCGAAATCGTCATGGACTTGACAAGAACATGCAGACCAACTCCATGGATGCTGTGAGATGAGTAGAAAAATACCTAAAAAGGCAAAAAGTTGACTTTCCGTTTGAGCCTCTGCAAATTATTATTTAGGAGGGTACTTCTCCAAATACTGGTCAAACCGCAAGATCGTCTTTTGCTTCGCCCACTGTACAACAAGCAAACGAATTAGTAACTCTTCAGTCAAGGGAATACCGCTTCTCAGTCTTGAGGTGATACGGAACAAAAACGTACCGATTCCACTTTCTTCCACGGCGGAATCACGGGCGGCGGCGGCTTCTCAAAGTGCGTTCGACTCCATTGTTTTGCTGCCTCCTTTTCCTCTGCACTCTCATGATCCCATGCCCACTGGATTTCGGCGCGAATCTCCTCAAAACTCGGCCTATCGTCGGGAATCTCGCACAGACAGCGGGCGACCAGGTGGCGGAGCCGGATGGGCACATGGTCGTATTGCGGGTCGAGCAAGTGGGTGCCATAAGTCGGGTACGACCTCTTGCGCTGCCGTTTGAGCGGTAAGTCGTTTGGCGGGCCGTATATCAAGTCGGCGTCTCTCAGGGGATGGATGGTATTAGTTGGATTCCATCGGAAAGTTATGACGATGTGCATGATCTATGGCCAATGGGGGTATAAGAGTTAGTGGCGATGTTGTGACGCGAGGAAAGACGAGATAGAGGCAGACAACGGGACTTACCAATGCAAGTTGCCATAGATTGGATTTCCAGCTATACTGTCCGGCTACCCTCGCTTGTTGAGCATCGGGTGATTCGACAATCGCTTCCCACTCCCTTGTAAATTGCTCCTGAGCAAAGAGGGCAAAAGATGTCAGCGTCACTGCTATCAAAGAAAGTGAGCAAAACACGGATACCTACCGGGAGATAGAAACCTGGCTTTCCACAGAGGCGATGGGCCCAGAGATCTTTTCTGTATGAATGAGAAGAGTAAGCTTCAAACGAGTCTCGGTAGAGGTATGCATCAAGACACTTCATTTATACTTACAGATTACGGCGACATGCATCATCAACGCTCATATCTTTGGCGAGCCCAAAGTCAATTAGCTTGAACATAGGCGTCCCATCATGAGTATCGGTCATCCTTTCGAAATGCGGATGTGTTGGGTTGACCCTGTGCTTGCCTTCCCTGGATTCCGAATCAAAATCCCCGATGAGCACTGAGTGTCACCGCCATCAGCATTGATCAGTCATGAACCGCAAGGTTTGAGTGAAGCTTACCGTTTTGTGGATCAATGTCAAAGTGAACGAGACTAGTTCCGGCTGGCTTGTTAACATAACCATTATGTGGTCCTGGATTGAGCTCTGGTACCATGTTCCCGTCATCACGATCATCAATATTCCAGACGAAATCCTCTGCCACAGGATCAGGTCCCGGAAGATTAGGAAAAAAGATTAAAGGGGGATACTCCATAGCCAAGCACATTTTCATGACTGTATAGCGGTTGTTAGTATAGGATAGAATATGAGTGGCTGAAAGGAACGACTTACAGCAAGCCATCATATCCCAGAGGACTCGATTTGGAATGCGCAAATCTGGTTCCGTCCCGGCCTTTAATTTCCCTAGTCCTTCCAACCATTCGTAAAGGGAGCCCCTTGCTACGTATTCCATAACCATGCTCTTGGGAACCTGCTCTACTTGGTCGGTAGGTCCGATTGGAGGCTGACGCGCCGCTGTACCCGCCTTTCTTGCAATGGACGCGACCCTTTGCCCTGCCCGGGTAGCGCGACTCTCCTTTCGTACTTCAGCTTGGCTTCGCTCTGTTCTTGCCCGCTTCTTTGGCCGCCGCGCGAGCGGCTCGTCGTCATCTGTGTCTTGAGGTTTCTCCTTGTAAGGATGAAAGACCTGAACAATATGGGGCGCGCGGAGGAGGGTCTGTCGGTCCACCGGTTAGTAAAGGCCCAAAAAGGTAGAAGCCTCGCAAACAAGAACCGGCAATGTAAGGACTACTAACCCGTGTGGTCTCCTTTTCCCTAGCCACCTCGTCATAGCCCCCTATGTCTCTCTTTACCGTCCAGAACGTTGGGGTTTGGTTCTCGTCGTAGCTGACAAAAACGCAGATGATGCCCATGCCGCCAGCCCCAAGAATCTTGCAAAAGTGCAGGCCGGCTCCCTTTTCGTACATGTCCTTGGTCAGCCCCCTGGCCGTTTCCCATTTCTCAGTCTCTGCTTTTTCTTTTTTTTCTTGGTCGTCGCTATCCTCGCTTTCACTCTCCTCGCTTTCATTGTCCTTGCTGTCCCAGCTTTCCTTCTGCTCAATTTGCATCTGGTCCTTCTGTTCTGCTAAATAGGCGTAATACTCATCGTAGCGTTGTAGCCCCTCGTTCGTTCTCCAGGGAAAGATTTCATCCGGAACCACTCCATGGTGTAGACGCAAGTTCACGGGTTGGCTTGCCAGTTTGACTTTGTTCCGTCGTCGTTCGGGTTCGCCCCTTCGGTAAAAGTAATAGTAGTCATTGTATTTCTTCCTTTCCTGATCCGGTACCAACTTGTTTGCCGCACCTTTTGGAGCACCTCTTTTGGGCGGCATTGTGGATGGAGATGATATATCAGATGCCGACTGTTAGTCCTGGCGGTGCGCTGAGAAACTCATAGAAACAAAACGAACGGTCAAGTCAAGGTTTGAGGGTTCGACGTGTGACAGAAAATAATGGTTGGTGAAATGACTTGACTGAGCATCGTTCTGACATTCAGCTTAAGGACAATATTGAGATTGACACAAAGGGGTATTGGGACAGAAGCATTCGGGGGCTAATGGGCCGCATCCGGCAAGCCTCAACTTTGCAAACAATGGAATCCCATCCAGAGCATCAGGAGACGACAAAGGAACTGAGATTCGGGCCATTGTGTCTGTTATCTTTGGAACAAATGAGAACCTCGAAATCTTAGAGTCTCCAAAGCGGCCCGTAATACGCTTTGGGATGGTTGAAAAAGAGTTGTCATCCTCGCCGCGACTGCATGCCGAAGCGGCAACATGCTGAATATCGTAGGAAACCTGGCGGAACTGCTAGACAGCATCAGTGGTGGTTGGCTTTGGCAATCTTGAAGAGTTGATCTAAACCCAATCCTCGGCACTAATAATTGAAGCATCAAACATTGACAGGTTTGTGTGATTCGAATGAGCGATGGTTGTTGTAGTCAAAATGGAAGAAGTGTGAAAAGAGGATGAAGAGGATGAACCCCGCCTTGGTCGAGGTGACACAAATGGGATGAATTGAAGGCTGAAGCACTGAAGCAGACGCGCTGTGGCCGCTGAACAAGTTGGCGCTTGCGCTTTAGGAGGCTTGGACGATAGGCAGATATGCAGAAGATAGAAAAAAGGTCCGTGCGAATGGCTGGACAAGCCACATGCCCCACAAAGACGTGCAGACCTCTGCATACGATTGGCCCGTCTTCGCCGACGACGTCTGGTCGCCAACAAATCTGACTCTCCGGATATCATCCGCGGTCTCCCGCCTTTTCTCCTGCCTGTGCTTTTACCGCCATCTATCGCCAGATACCAACCCACAAGAACAAAGCGGCCACCACCACCAACCATGTCGGGCAACAACTCTGGTAATAGCAATACTAGTAGCAGCTACCTGGCCCAGCAGTTCCAGGTCACGGTATGGAACCGAATCCTCTGACTTTCATATGACTCGTCTTGGCACTTCTTCGCTGACCACTCTCTCTCTGCCCGGGAATAGGATCAGCATCTACAGCAACAGCAACAGCCAAGTCAACAACAACAACAAAGTCCACAGCAGCAAAACGCCAGCCGGACTCCCCAGCGCCAACCTCGGGTCGAAACCCCCATCCACCCTCCTCCGATCCCGCCCCAGCGATCTACTCAGCAACAACAGCAGCAACCACAACAACCGCAACAACAACAACCTCAACAATCACCACAACCGCCGCAATCTCAACAATCACCACAACAACCGCAACAGCAACAGCTGCCAAACCTCTTTGCACCTCACACCCAGTCACAGTTGCAACAGTTGGCTCTCCAAACATCTGCGCCCTTATACCACCAGATCCTACCTACCCAGAAACCTCGAACACCCGAAGAGATCCTACGAGATCAGCAACTATCCGGCAATGCGTACTGGGGTGCCCAGGCAAACTATCCCAACCAACACCAATGGCTTCAAAATGCCAAGTCTCCCGAGGCCGACGGGCAGCAACAACATCAAGCACAAACCCACCACCAGCAGCAGCAGCAGCAGCAACAACCTCAGCAACAACAACCACAACAACAGCCGCACTCGAGTCTAGCGGCAGCACAGTTTAACCCACCGCAGAAGAACTTGACACCCGAGCAACAAGCATGGCTGGAAAGAAAGGCCCAGGAACGGGAACAGCAGCGCGCTGAACAAGAGGCAAAGTCACGGCCCCAGCGCAGCAAGGGGATGACTCGCCAGCAACACCAGCAATTCCGCCAGCAACAGCAACAGCAACAGCAAGATAAATTCTATGCGCATGATCCGCTGAACCACCCGGCCTTTCAAGTTGACCACCACCAGCAGCAGCACTCACAGGGTACCAATGGTAATGGTACCCCAGACGAGACAATGCTTGACGAGGAGGCAGCGGAGGAACACGAAGACGAGGACGAGGACGAGGAAGACGAGACCATGAACGACGTCAGCTCCAACAACGACACGCCCCAGCCCAACGGCGGCGGTAGCGACGGAACCGCCAACCCCGCGGACGGCCAAAACCTGATTCCGGATGCGAACGGAAACCTGCCCGGGTCAGCCGACTACAAAGCTCCTCTCGTGCAGCCCATCACGCCGCTCCGTCTCCCCTCCGTACGTCCTAACCTGATGCTCGGGCCCTACGATACGCGCGAGCAAGCCATGAGCTCCGTCATGGAGTACGCCATCAGCCAGGGCTACATGCTGGTGCAATCCGGGTGCGCCAAGGCCAAGAACCCAGGCGGCAAGTATGCCAAAGGCTCCGAAGTAGTGCGGGTCGATCTGATGTGCGACCGCGGCGGCACGTGCAAGAACAGTGGCACGGGCATCCGCAAGCGCCCCACGCACAAGATTGGGTGTCCGGCCAAGATGAAGCTGGTGTGCAAGAAGCGGCACGCGAGCAAGTGGTTTATCGAGGTGCGGTGCGAGGAGCACAATCACGATCTGGATCCCAACAATATGGATTCCATTGCCAGTTACCGTCGGTATCGGAGGTTGCAGGCCGGTGGACGCGCGCTGGAGACGCAATCGGAACGGTATGCGAGGATGAAGAAGCCCAAGGTTATGCCGCCGGTGCCGCCGCCAAAGTTCCATCAGGTCGGTGGCGGCGGGGTGGTGGGTAACCCCGTGTTCCCGCTGGGACCGCCGTCGGGACCGTTGCACATGGCGGCGTTGAAGGGGCAGAATAAGATCTTGGAGATTCTGATCAACAAGGGAGGTGACATTAATGCGCATGATAGTACGGGACGGACACCGCTGCATTGCGCTATCGAGGGTGAGCGGATGGATACGGTGACGCTGCTGGTGAATAAGGGTGCGGATGTGACCAAGTTGGATTTGAAGGGGACGAGTCCATTGCATGCGGCGGTGTCAAAGGGGATGGAGGATGCGGTTGTCTTGTTCATTGAGAAGGGCGCGGATCCGAACAGGTAGATGTGCAGGCCTGTCATGCCCATCAATGTTTGCTTTGTGACCGGGCTATGCTACGGACGGCGAGTCGGTTCTCCCGGAGTATTTGTGTCACCAGCTTTTTTGGACATTGCCTCGGTTCCGTATCGATGTCTTTTTTGTGTCGGTGTCTCGAGCCGCAGTAGCATCATCAGGCTTGGCTGAGGCAAGACCTTGAACACTGTATGACTATAATTATAATATTATGTTTGGCGGGTGTTTCCAACGGTGCACACGTCTGACAAGCAGTACGAGCTACTTCAGGGACAGTTTATCAGATTCCCTTGCATTAACTTTCATCTTGTCGAAACAAGCAACCCCATGGGAGCCTTTGGACCTGGCTGTACTTGTAAAGGGTATTTATTCACTTACACTAGTATCCGGGAAGTGGGTCTTTGCCGCTCCGGCTCCGGATGCCGGTGGTTAACACTCCGGAGTGTGCCGGATCGCTGCCCAGAAACAAAGACATGTCTGACATCAGATGACTCATTCAACTTCACCTGAGCAGAACATACTGCTGATCTACACCCTACGATCTTTGTTTTCGGACGTGGTAAATCGAGATGTGTCGATTTTTAAGAACATTTGGGTACCAACATTGTAGAACTAGTCTCACGTGTTGCGTGTAAGTGATTAGCGCTGTGGAATTCCATCTTCTATTGTTTTGACCGTCTATTATCGGGCGCTAGAATTGACTCGACGTGGTTGTATGTAAGAAACCACCAAGAAAAACATTCAATCGTCTTGGGAAAAGGTCGCGAAAGCTCTTCGTGAGAGGAAGAATCAATATATCCGACCTTGAATAAAATGACGACAGAGGGTCGTCTAACATTAAAAATTGATGAGGCCTTTGCTTAGCGAGCGATTAGCAATTACTTGTAATCGGGTGTTAGTAAATCAGTCCGGTACCGCTCGATATGATTCTCAATAATTGTCTCTAAAAGGAAGAGAGAAGGTGCCGTAGACCCAGCTTTTGATCTACGAATCCATGCGCTTCTCGGCGACCGACTCTCAAGCGCATGTACAGTCCAGTGCTAGTTTGTTTGTTGGCTTGGTACACCAGGCACTCCTACAGTATATATAGTGCATTAGACGGAATCTATTTCGAATGGTCCCAAAGCTTATATAGATAGATTAAAAGGCATTAGCAGGGTTTCATCTAGTATTTTGAATGTTAGAGATGGCGTAGCCAAGGTAAGATTATGCATTAGTTAGCCATAAAAACGCATAGGAAAGTTGACACGAGGTCTCGAACTAACAAACAAACCAGTACTGGACTGTACAGTTCATGGATCTTTCCCAGAATTGCCATTGTTTTGTTTGTTTCTCTTCCGGTCGATAAAGTTGAGGAAAGAAAACAAATGTCTCGCGGCTCGGCAGTTGAATAAGACGGTTGGTCGCTAGCTTGGCCGCCCCGGCAAGGTGCGTAGGGCCGGGGAACCCCAATTGTACACCTGCACCACTGCCGGCCCCCCTGGCAGCAGGTACAAAGAGGTACATCATCATGTCGTCATGACTTCTTTTGTTCATCTTCTTAAGCTTTTCTCTAGTAACGATCCCCGCCTTCCCACTTTTTTGATTGATTTCTACCCCAGCTTTCGCATAACAAAAACCATGTGGCGCCCAATCAAGGGACTCCCAGCTTCGTTGTCTCTGCCCATTCGGGACATGGACCATGAAGAGCCTCCCCTACACTACACTACTAGGTCGGGTCGTTGTCTGACCTCGGCTTCAACGGCACCTCCATCTCCTGGGGTAAGCCTCCTCCTGTTGGACCATTGCAGGTTCAGCTTCGATAGTACCCCTTATTTTCCCCGATCCGTGTCCAGCTTGCGACGTGAATCAGTTGCGACTCACATCGGACCACTCAATGGAAAAACATGGTTCGGGTGTTTCCCGTTTTCAGAGGAAATGGGGCAAAATAACCAAAGACGCAATTCGAGGTTACCAGTGCAACGTCCGTTTCCAGGCCATACTTATCGGACAATACCATTTGGGAACAAAAGCAAAATCTCTGCTGAGCTGCCGAGAGCGGAGGAAGATTCGCCCCCATTACCAATCGAGCTTTTTGGGCCTGGTCAGTCATCTCCATGACCGTCAATGACGACGAAGCTCCGTCAGCGGACGACCAGCAACTGCCTTCCTTGCACACCGATGTGGTGTACCTCGTGGATCTGCTGGGATTTGGGGTCCACGGTTTGCAGATCCTCAAGCCTGGCCGGGTGCGGAATGCTAGCGTCAACCTCTTTCATAGGGAAAGACACAAAGTCAACAGAGACACTCGGGGTAAACTCGGTGGGCAGGCACAACAGCCGGACATCCTGGTTGGCTGACCTGTGACTGAGTGACTGGCAGGTGCCCTGGGTCGATATCAACGAAATCATCGATGATGATGATGATGGTACAGCAGCTCACCTCGCAGGCACATCCGACGCCTGGGTCGGAGTACTAGGTATGTAGTTTTGGCATGGCAGGACCCTTGACGACGCGGTGCAAACCCTCCGGGAACCTTTGCTTGGCTGTGAATACAGAACATATAATTTGGCAGCATCCGTCCGGCTTACCCAAAATTCGTTTCAATCAAGTCACCAAACAGTCGACATCGAGCATTCCTAACATTTGCTCCCGTTCGACACTCTTCAACCACACCACATCAGTTACAATGGCTGGGTTCAAACTCTCGGCAGGCGTTGGCCTCCTCGGCCTCGCTGCTAGATCGCTTGCCGTTCCCGCTCCCATCTACTCGGAGCCCACCACCACCTTCTCGGTCCCCAAGATCACGGCAGTGGTCGAGCCCGTTACCGATGTAACTTCTCATGGTACCTACACAGGACCTTCACCCCTTACCACCGGCGCCTTGTCGACTTCAGTCCTTGCTCCATCAGTTCCAGCTCTTCCCCCAGGGCCAGACGCTTACAAGTACCCGAGTGATGGGCAACTTCACGCTCCTCAGCCTGCCCCTTACACTCCGGCTGGCGGTGTCGGCACCAACGGCTCTGCTCCCGTTTACAGAGTGCTTTCCGACTTCGACTACCAGTCCATTGCCCTGGCCCTTCACCAGGAATGGATTGAGCTCGATCTCTTCCACTGGGGTCTCGCCACATTCTCAGTTGAGGACTTTGAGGAGGCCGGTCTCACTGCTGAAGACCGTCACTTGATCGAGTTCATGGCCGACCAGGAAGTTGGCCACGCTACTCTCCTCAGCAACATCCTTGGGCCCTCTGCCCCCAACCAGTGCACCTACAACTACCCTGCCACCAACGTGCACGAGTTCATCGACTTCTGCCAGAAGTTGACTCGCTACGGTGAGTCCGGTGTCTACGGCTTCCTCAACCACCTCAACGCCCACGATGTCGGCCAGCTGCTGCTGCAGTCCATCACCACCGAGGCTCGTCAACAGATGATCTTCCGCCAGTTCGAGGGTCTCTTCCCCATGCCCGAATGGTTCGAGGTCGGCATTCCTCAGTCCTGGGCCTGGTCTCTTCTCGCTCCTTACATTTCTTCGTGCCCTGAGAACAACACCCGTCTGATCTGGCAGAACTACCCTGCCCTCAACATCCTGAACCAGCCCAACCCGTTCCGCATCAACGGCTCTTACGTGTGGAACGAGACCACGGACGGCGGCTACGCCAACACGGCCTCGTACCAGGACATTGACGAGAGCGATGACTGCACCAAGTCGACGGACGTCGGCGCCTCGTGCGCCCCCGGCATCACCCGCAACCGCTCCATGCCCCTCTCGTACCCCGGCCGCCAGGTCTTCCTCGAGTGGGACGAGCCCGGCAAGCCCATCGGCCCCAACAACTCGTATGTTACCGACACTCAGGCTGGTGCTCCCAAGTTCGCGGCTTGGGTCTCGCAGCTTAACGTCACGTACTCGCCTCTGGAGAACATCCAGGGCAACAGCGCCTACACTGTCCAACCTGATATCAGCTCCTTTGATGGTAACCCGGCTATCAACGGTACGATCTTCCTTGTCTTGACTGATGAGGATCTGTATGTTACTCCGTACAACTTGACGCAGCTGAACCCTCACGTTTATGCTGTTGGCATGTACCAGTCTGGTTAAGGGGTTGCAACAATTTCTTTAATGTTTATACCCGGGTGATTTTGCACGCAGTTCTGTGCGAGCTGCCTATGTAATTGTATGACGAGTCATGATGAATGACTGGAGGGGGAAAGGGGATGTACATAATCAGAGGTGATTGGTTGGCATGATGGTACCCTAATTACGACTGTCTTGGTAGTGACTAGTCAATAATGCCTACATTACGTTGTCAATGCTGTTTCTCCATATGTTGAAGTGGTCGTTAATTGGGTGAGTGTTTTTCCAGCGATTAAACGAGGTCCAGTGAATGTCAAAGTGCCCGTGAAGGTGGACAAAATTTCCGAGTGTCCTCAGCGCAATGGCCGTCAAGGTGCTCAAGATAGGATGAAGAGAGCAATTCGTTAGTTGGCCAGAGCTCTTATCGCAAACAGCTTATTCCTTATCTGGGTATGACATCACCACCTCAATGACGGTTACTGCTCGTCACAGCTCCAGGGTCTATCGGCCGAAGGTTTAAACGGTGATGTAGGGCCATTGAGCGCCACCATCAATTGCCAGTGGATTTTGAGGGGACTTGGTCAGTTTAACGCCAAGAACTTTGATATCTCAACAACACCAACCATCACCTGCAATTGTTAACTCGACCTCATCTCTCAAGACGCAACCTCAGTACACCTTGACTAGAGAAAAATCACCATCAAATCAGTCACTCGAACACCACAAAAATCATAATGTCACGTCTACTAACCCGCCTCCCACGCACCATACCCCCCACTGCTCCCCTCCAACTCACCCTGGGCAGCAGCAGAATTACTATTACTAGAGGAATAGTCACCGACCTCGAGACAGGCGGCACCCGCAAAGCCAAGCAAACCGCCGGCAAAGGCTTCGTCTCCGTTGGCGGGCAACAGGATCGTGGCATGCCTACCTCTGACAAGGGTGATGAACCAATGCCTCCGAAGTATTCCACTTCTGTATGTCTCCTTCACCTACAATCCAATTCAATCCTTAACTATCATTATCATACGCTCTTGTTGCTGTACAAAGCAGAGCAGAGCAAGTGGCTAACACTAACAAATGCATAAAGACCGGCCACACAATCCTCCCGTCCCTCAAACAGTCAGTTCAACAAACAATGGAACACCCTGAGGAATGGGAGGGGATTCACGCTGAACATATTTGCGCTGTGGAGGAAGCCAACAGTGCTAACGCTGAGAAGTGGGAAGCCAGTCGAGCAGGACGGGATGCAGAAAGGGACGTGACTGAAGCATGGGGCAGTGAGATGGCCAGTGACTCTACGAGTACTAACGCGGGAAGAAGTTCTCGGACGAAGGGTAGTAGCAAACGAGCAGCAGCAGCGGAAGGTTCTTCTTCCAAAAAGCCAGCCCCCAAGAAAGAAGCCAGCAGCAGCACCACCACCAGCAGAAAAAAATCTCAACCCAAGGAGACCTCTCCAAAGAAAATGAGAGGCAAAGAATCCACCACCGCCGGCGCCGAGTCCTCCACAAACAGTCCCGACTACGCTTCCCCCATGGACGCGCACCACAGCCAACCCCTCCCGCACTCCACCATGGACACAGCAACAGGCCAACAACCCATCCCTCCAGCCCCCGACACCAACTTTTCCTCCTCCTCCTCCTCCTCCGCAGCAGGGGCAGCAGCAGGAGCAAATACAATAAGCGAGGACTCAATCCCCCACTTGGCCCTGCACCCCAACCTCTCCCTCGGGACAACCCTTTCCTCCATCTCCGGAAGCTTTACACTCGAACCACAGCCCCGTCCAGCTCCAACAGCCATCAAACCGTTCGCTACATCTTCGACTGCGTGGATTTCTTGGACTTTTATACAGTCTCCCCAGAGCAATATCAATGTTCGTGGTGCGTCGAGATTCGCTCGGTCGCATTATTCGACTTCTAGTTCTAGTTCGGCTTCGACTTCTACTTCGACTTCGCAGAATATCACAATGGCTACGGGATTATCTGGACAGCAACAGCAACAGCAAAAGAAGAAGGAAAAGCCGAAAACGCAAGCGCAGTTGGATGAGGAGGTGAGGATGCGGATGGAGGAGAATGTGGCGGGGGAGGGGGGAGCGGCGGGGGTGGAGTATGAGGATGGGAAGGCGGTGGGTATGAAGAGGGGGGTGAGGGAGAATATGTTTAGGTATATCTAGAGGAGATGGGGAAAGGATGGGGAGAAGAATGATGAGAGGTGTCGATGTTGTTGTGGTGAGGTTTTGTTGAGTTTTTGGGACGCGGTTGGATGATTGGATGTGTGTGTGGTGGCTACGATGTTGAAGTTGGGACTTACTACTGTACGTTTCTGTGAAGGCGTTGGTAAGCTACAGTATCAGACATGGATGGAAAGTTCAACCAAATTGCGATAAGGTCGTACACTATCTCGGTCATATCATTTTTATATCAACCACCAAATGCTCAAGACAAGATGTTCGACAGGTGTTACTGTAGTAGCGTACCTGGTATGAAAAGTTTGTCGAAATCCTACTACTAGAGTGTGATTAAATCACTCGTGTATTTCTTCTTCTGTCTGTTTTGCGCAATTTCTGCATGATTGTGCATTTTACATATCAATTCGGACATGAGCTTCACAAAATTACCGGGTTGTGCTTCCCGGGAGACACTCCCCACGCGAGGTAGTCTTCCCGTGGCATCTGAAGCTGCGCTGGATGTCGTGGCGAGCCCAAATGATGCAGACGGTGAAACCAGCTTGAGTAGAGTTGACCTTTAGATTCTCATTGATTAGCATTCCTTAGCACTTGCGGAGCACCAATTACTGGACGGCTAGTATTCGACTTAGGAGAAAATCTCTGTATGTTCGTTCCCTATCATTACTAGTCGTCAAGCTGAGCGTTCACTGCTTCTCCTGTTCTTGTGTTCGTGTGAAGACAAAAGAGTTCGTACATCCGTCCCAGCCAACCGTCATTACTTTGAGACTATCAACGAAGATATCTCCATAGGAAAAAGAAAAAAACAAAGTCGTGACTCGTTGGACACACGAATGCGCTGGTACGAACCAGAACTCCAAGTCCAACCACCTATCGGCAATCGTCCAACATCAACCCATCATCCCCTCCTCCATCCCCAGAAAAACAGCAACAAAACAAGAAAAGCGTAGTGGTATCATCAACATTATCATCCATCATCCATCATCCATCGTCCATCCATCCATCCATCATTAAACAACTCCTTCATCTCGTTTTCTTTCCATCATCGTATGTATCGTCACCTCTGCATCATCATCTGCTTAGACCTCAGGCAGTCGTCTTCCGTCTCGATTAAAGAGGAATAAAGCAGCAATCGCACGGTATCGGGCACGGAATGCAGAAGCAGAAGCGGCCAGGACACATCCCGCCGCGATCACCGCCGCGAAGGCCAATGGTGGAGTCGTCATGGGGGCGCATGGGGTCTATTTTATTAATTGTTAGTTAGCAAGGTGGTTCGAAGGATCAACTAAGCCAGGCACTTGTGGGCGATGATGAGATGTGGCAAGTGTTGCGGCGGAAGAAACAGGAGACGACGAGCAGTGGAAGAGAGTCAAGGGAAGAGGTAGAGAAAAACATAAACATACCCATAGGCTGCGCAACACCAGGCTGCGCCATCTCGATATCGCCTGGTTTCGTGCTGGCCGAGACATGCGCGGGCTCAGGCTCCTCGACGACGGTCATGGTGTTGTTGGCGGGAGGTTGTTGTGTGTAAGTCATGTTTCCTTTTTGTTTCTTGTTTTCTTTCTGGTGCGTTCGTCGGTATTGGTTTCGTATGTGTGTGTATAGTAATGTCCCTGTGCGCGACGTAGAGAGTGATGCGATGCGATGCGACGGATGTTGACACTTGTTGCGACTGAAGTTCAAAAATGCAGCAAACAACAAAATAAAGCAACAAAGAAAGGACTTGGCGGAAAAGAAGCTTCGTTCGGGGTTTTATTTGCTCTAGTGTGGGAACAATGCGGAACTCGAGGAAGGAACAGGATCGATGCTACGAAACTCGGAGAAAAAGAAGACACAAAGCTGAGCAAATCGGAGGTGGTTGGGAAACGGGACGGGGGATGGAAGCTGGATTGTGGCTGTGTGGACGCTGTTGCTGGTTGCTTACGACGCAGCCTTCCAGCTTCCATGCGGCTTGTTACGTCATCCCCTGCACCAGTTCAGCGCGGAAACAGGGGAAGGCTTACGACATGGTCTGTGCAGAGTGAAGCTCTTATCGGTTGGGTACCTTGATGGCAGGGGACATAAGACAGCGATAAGGATAAGATAAGCGGCGAGCTGGAAATGATGGAGGAGGAGAGCTCGAATCCTCAGCTCTCATTCCAAGACAACAACTCGATAGGTGATCATGTTGGGGCAGTCGGGCGCCTCTCTAAGGTTCTTTTTCATGCAGATGTCACGATAATATCAACAAGCGATTCCCCTTCAATTGGCGCCAATTGCCCACGTCCATCCACTGATGATGAATGATGAGAATACCGATATTGGAACTACCATTGTCCGGTGCTTTCACGACGATCTGTACACGAGCGCGCGGACGCAAAAACACTCAAAAGCAACGCTTTTCTGTCTCGATATTGTCTTCCAGTCTTTTCATTTTTTTTTATCTTAAGATACTTCATGCTCTCATGATACTCGATCTCCAATCTTTCACATGACCACTCGACCAGGTCCGCCGAGCGCTGATCGAGAACACCATGACCCGTTTGATCTCAATAGGTTGAAACTACAAAAAACAGTCTCTTTTCCCTAGCTCACCCTCTTCATCCCAGCTCACTAAGTCCAGGATATCATCTTGGTAGGCATCTTTCAGGACGCGGTCATAATAGCTTGTATCACCTCCCTCGACAACCGTGTCCAGAAGGTCCAGCCCAAAACTCTCCTTGCACCAGACCAATCGTTCTCTTCGTACTTTTATTCGTACTGGCAGCTCTGTAATGTCGACTTTCACGATAGGCGGCTTAGGAGCGTGAAGCTGAACACCCAGGCTTTGAAGCCGGGCCCTATGCTCTTCAGACTGGTCGATCTGGCGTAGATCTTTGAACACCTCGTTGAGACGGATAACCCAATTGTCCTGGAGGAAACGCCCGAAATTCTTTGCGGATTCGAAGCGCACATTGCCCCATTCTTCCATCAACGTTTCGAGCATATTCACAAGCTCGCTGTCCTCCTCGCGGATCTCTTCCGTATCGCCATCGTCATGGTGGCCATCCTTCTTGCAACACGTGTGTCGGATACCGAGAGATATGAATGTGAAGAGGCGCAAAGCCTCGTGAAACTGTCCCTCGTACTGACATACGAAGCCGTCTTTTTCGTATAACATTGTCCAAATACGCTTGAACTCGTACGCATACCAGGCAAAGGAGTTAGGGTGAGATAATCCGTGCAGGGTGGAATTGAATGATGGAAAATCTGCCAGGAAGTTTCTCGATAAGATGAGGAATGGCGTGCACCCGTTCGCAGAGCATGCACATAAACAACTGTCCGTTATTGGTTCACTGCATAACCGACAAGCCACCTCATACACGGCTTTGCTCGGCCTTTTCAGCCTACACTTAAGCCCCATCAGATCGTACGAACAGACCCAATTTTGATAAGTAATGCAATGGATAGCTTGGTGAGCCGCCAGTATGGGAAGAATGTGACCTTCAGTGTCCTGAAGCGGTTGGAACGGGTCCGCGTCATGATTCAATAGCCAGAGGACGTAGTCTCCTCTTCTACGAGAACTCTCGGGGCTGTATAAACGTAACGGGGTGTCGTAAGGGATGTATGCGAGGGGTGGTAAATCTGTCACAGCGTGATAGTTCACCTCACGAAAACCCAATTGCCAGGCAGCATCTGCCATGTCTGCATCCTTGGTCTCGCGGTAGATGTCGAAGGAATCAATTGCGGCTTGGATTTTTGCGCGTTTCGTATTTGATAGAAAAGTTGCCGCTATTTTCTGCAGGTGGTCGATGATCCTACGGATTGTCCCGGTGGGAAGGTCCATGATATTTAGCTCCCGTCCAAAGCTACCCCAAGATAGCTTTTGAAGTATAGGGCCAACGATCTCTTGCCGAGACCGCTTCAGATATAACAAAAGCTTCTTCTGGGCAGCCAATGGCAATTCCCCCACTACCAAGCGAAGGGTACCATGATACGGACCCCAACTTGAAGAGTGAGCGAAGTACCAAGAATGGTCAAGGAATAACTCGATGCATTTGGAGCAGTGGCATTCCTCCGAACACAGTTCTCTATGATTCATTTTATATGTCGATAAAGCGTACTGGAAAATATCCCAGGCTAAGTCTCCCTCAACGTCCTCAAATGGGACTTGCTCCAGGAGTATGGACAAGCCATCCTTCCAAAGCACGGCGTAGTGTAATGGGGTCCTTCTATTCAGGTCTCGTTCGAACGCCAAAGAGGGATTGCGCGATATGAGAGACCTGACGTATGAAATATTCTGTTGAAGGACTGCGATACCCAACTGATTGCAACCGAATGCTAAACGTAGAAAGTCAGCTTAGTACAGACGGCAGAGAAAATTGGTGGGAAAGGGTTGTCACGACGATACCTTTGCCGAAGATCCAAGCCTCGGGGAGAGGTTTCAAGAAATTGAGTCGGGGTTGAAAGGTGTCTACCCGGTCTCTAGCCTCGGAGGGGTCGATATCCATATCTCGTAAGATGAAGAGCTTGAGAATGGAGGTCATGGAAGCTAGCGTGTCCGTCTCTGTATCAGGGACATAATTGGCAACGGTCAAATGTGCAAGCCTATTTTGTCATAGTTAGCAATTCTATTCTGGTAAAAGGTAAATCTAGCTGAAGCTGTACCTATTTCCGTTATCGTAAACTGTCGTTGGGACATTGCACATGATCAATCTTGCAAAAACCTCGTGTACTGGCGCAACCATCGATGGAGTCCACGGATTCCTTTTCCCCGTAAAACCCGTCCATACCGCGTATGACTTGCTAAAGTCAGGACTGCTGTCGTATGAACAGGAGAAAATTGGCTGGCTACTTTACCTTGATGAGGGAGGATACGTAATGTAACAGTGTTTCGCCCTGGATGTTGACAGCTCTCGGAACAATGGATCCGTTGGAACAAGCACGCGATATGTGCATGCTGAAGGCCTCCAACACTTTGTGTCTCAAGGCTGAAAATCGAATCTCCATTTGGGAGTTCAGAGTAGGATTTACCCGACTCAGCCAGTCACATGATCTTGTCAAAACCTGCATAGCTTCTTTAACGTAGTAAACAAGCCTAAAAGGTGCGTAAACACGTTCATCCATGACAGGATAATGGACAATTCCTGGGCCAAAGCTGAATCCACCGGCGCCATGATTCAAGCGGAAGTTGATAACCACAGCATGTCGGAGTAGGCGAGTAAACCCACGATACGCAAGACTTATGACTTTGGACCGTTTAGACGTATTGAATTGGGCCCATTGGCAGCTTTCATGGTGAGCGAGTTCTGCCTTGGATTCCGCGAATAGTCGAAAAGGACCCCAATCAACAGATCGCCGAGTGGCAATTCGGCGACGTTGACAAGTACAGGCAGACCAGGCGTTTGCGTCTGATGGACACTCCGACTGGGGCTGTTGACTAGAATACTCATCGCAAAGTACTTTGAGTGCGCTTGGCTTCGACACGAGACAAGCGAGGTTCCTGTTCACTTCAATGTCCTGCATAAGAACTCTGTAAGCAACAGCTTGCCGGTGGGGAAGAAGTGTGTCGTAGCTACCTTTGAACCTGTAGAAGCATTGGCATCCATCCTTAGCAAAAGGTCTTGGATAAGCTGCTTGATTTGGCTGAACTCATTGGATTGTGCTTGTCCAATCTGTTCAAGATTGGATTGATGGGACGATATGGCAAGGTTGAGGATTGCTTCGATGTTCTGGATGCCCTGCGTGGCCGTTTGATTCGTTGCCATTAGTTTTTCTGACAGCTTCGATACACAAGCTTCAACGTCCGGAAGTGTTTTCTGGACGTGGGTGAGGCCATGAACCATCGCTTCGGTATTCGACTTGATGGAACTTAGTTCAGATCTGAAGGTTAATAGGATGGCAATGATCAGCAAGTGTACTAGACTCTCGTATCTCGCAAGAAATTGGCTGTTGACACAGAGCACACTTGATGACAACTCACGGGGTTCAGAGTATGAGACAACTTACAGTCCAAAGGCATCGAGGGAAAGTTGAAGAGTTGTGTTTGCTTGGTCCAAATCCTCCTCCAGTTTTTCGATCTTGGCGCGCTGTCTTGGATACTTGAGTTTTTGCGTTGTGGCCCTGGCGAAGTCTACCACACCTGAGCCCTTCAGCTTCTGGCCTTTTGATGTCTTTGTGAGGGACGCGACTTCCTGCTGTAGGAGCAACAATTCCTGGCGCGATGTATCGAGAAGTGGTATGATAGTGGCACTATCGACGACTCCAGGGTTTGCCTGTTTGCTGTTCTGCAGAGACCGGTCAATGGCGTCCAAGGCCTGAGCCATGGTTGCAGCTTGTCTTGTAAGTTTGGCGATGTCTTCATCTCGATTCTTGACGATGTCGAGGAAGATCTTTAGATCGTTGTGAAGCTGGATGCCGAGGGAGACTACGCCTGTAACCAGGCCTGCGATAGATAGAGGGTCTGCCATGGTGTGCACCAATGCTCAGGGACATTGCAAGATAGAATGGTTTGGGTTTGAACTGAAGGTAATAAGATTTGGGTGTTGGCAAGAATTGAGTTGGTGACATGGAGGGGTTTGGGGCTGTGTTGACGCGAGCCATTGGCGATGGACCTCTCCATGAGACAGGCGTCCAATGTGAGGGTCCGACTCGATCGTGGCTTTGTCGAGTCTGGAGATAAAATGCAACATCGATTGAGGGGCAGACAGAATCACCCTTCATCCAATCCGCCGATGGAAAGGGAGAGGATTGGGTGTTGTTTCGACATCGTTCGAAGACCCTTCATTGAATTTGGGCATTGAATAGAGTCAAAACAGTCGACAATTTGTGTTTGGATGCAAGGTTGACTCGAGGCGAACCACGAAAGTTCCAAAGATCATGATGCAGGTCGCGGTCTTCAATTCATTAACCCTCCAATGCCCCTCAATGCCCGCAATACACACATTCTATCTGTCCCGTCATGTACTAGTGATCAAGTGTCAGTTGCAGACCTGCATTGCCTCAGCTGTCAGTCTGCCTTGTGTCAGCCCGAGCCGGTCCGTCTTGGCCAATAGCACTCCAGAATCACAAGTGGGAGCTTCCAACTGCATGCAATTGAGAAGGAACGACTCTCAGGGATATCTACTTGATAAGTGTGTGACTGTGGATATGGAAAGAGCATTGCGACATGACATCGAGCACTGAAATCTCTGAGACCAAGACAGGAGCTCCTTCCACCACGAGATTGCAAGAGGTTGGATGGCATTTATCCGGTCCTCATCCGTCCACAGTTGTGTTGAGTTTATCCCATAATGGCAAGCGGGGAACCAGAAGGAAACCAAAGCATCTTCAACCGCCGGTGAGAATGGAATCAACATGATTGTTAGCCATCGCGCCGCGGGTATTGCCTTCTTTGGTATTATTACAGTCATTCTAATCATTAAATCCCTCGGGTTGCATGGTGCCTCAGCAATACGACATGTTGGCAGTCAACTTTCAGACAAAGGCTCATCAGATGTCCTGAACACCACTCTGGGAGTATGTACACATCTCTTCTCTCCGGTCTCGATCCTCACCTAGATATAACACTGACACTGAACGACTGCCAGTTCCAAAAGATCTTCGTCATCAACCTCCCCGAGCGAACCGACCGTCGCGATGCCATGACCCTCGCCGCTGCCCTTACCAACCTCCAAATCACATGGGCCAAAGGCGTCCCCGGGACTGACGTTCCAGACAAAGTCATACCAGGTGAAGACTGGGAAAAGTCCATCTTGCGCGGCAACAAGGGCTCATGGCGCGCGCACATGAACGTTCTCAACACCATCATTGACCACAACCTCACCAGCGCCCTGATACTCGAAGACGATGCTGACTGGGATATTCGTCTCAAGTCCCAACTGCAAGTCTTTGCTCGAGCAGCTCAGCCCTTTACCGTGAACACACACCAAGCCGCCACAGTGACAGACCCAGACAAGATCATCAACGTCCCCATCACCTCCATCCCTTCCCTTCCCAACCAAGCCTCCTCATCACCCTACGGCAACAACTGGGACGCCCTCTGGCTAGGCCACTGCGGCACCAACTTGCCCACCTCCACCACTCTCACCACCGCTCCAACCAACACCTCCCTGCTTCGCGTAACTATTTTCAACGACCTCACCGTTCCCAACCCGCAATACCTTAAAGCGCACCCTTTTGCCCTCCAAGACCAACTCGCCGAGCTCTACCCGCCTCACACGCGCGTCGTGCACCCTTCCAGCGGGACAATCTGCACGCAAGCATACGCCGTCAGCCAGCAAGGAGCGAGGAAATTGTTGTGGCGGTTTGGAGTGAAGGAGGCGTTGACGAAGGGTTGGGACTTGGTCTTGGGGGAGTGGTGCGATGGGGCTTTTGTTGAGAATGGGGAGAAAGAGACAGCTCCGGTGTGTGTTACGGTTCAGCCCCCGTTGTTCAGTCATCACTTTGGGAAGGGGGCGGCGTCGGATATTACGGCGCCCGGGGGAGGGTTTGTGGATAAGGAGAAGGAGATGACGCCGTATGTGAGGTGGAGTGTGAGGTTGAATATGGGGCGGTTGGTGGTGGGTGGGGAGGTGAGGGATCAGTGGCCTGGTGAGTGAATTCATGATGGTGATGTGGTCTTTTAGGTGGCAAGAGGTAAGACAGGTATGTAAAAACCAGTTCAAAGCTGAACCTTGGTGGACATACCTGGAAACCCATTCACTTTCAACACATGGCCTGACAAGAGCTGGCAGCAGATACTCCGGGATCAGAAAAGCGCATCTAAAAGTCATTCATCAAGTTCATTTGAAACTATTACTCATTGCACAAAAAAAGACACTAGGTATCTCGAGAAATCTCCCACCGTTTGAACTCCATCCTTAAATGCTGATTTGCGACGAAAGCGTCAAAGTGACAGGCGAACCAGACAGCGTCGTCCAGTAAATCTTGGGCTCATTGCCCAGAGCATCAACAGTAGCCGATCCAGACGCGGAAGCGGGCACAGTGACGGGGATAGGGACAGAGCACTGGTTGTTGGTGGCAGTAACAGTCACGCTGACGATCTTGGTGCCGTCGGCAGAGTAGTTATACTGCATGTTGGGGTTGCATTTGCTGTTTTCCATGTCAGTATTTACATTCAGCACACCAAAATGAAATGAATCGGTGAAGAAAACTTACTCAAGCGTCATACGATCAACAAAGAGACGACCGATATCATCATGCTTCAACGAAACAATAGGCCAGTTGGTAAGACGGACCATCTCCTGCGTGATAGTCTCCACCCAGATCTGAAGCAGCGAGAGCTTACCGCTGACAGACCCAACAGTGATCTGATCAACATCACCACTGCGCAAGTTGGCCTGGTGGAACATGTACGGATCAGGATGGAGACCCAACAAGTACCGAACATTCACGCGGCGGGCATCATCAAGCAGGTTGCTAAAGGGCGCCGCACCAGCCGAGGTATCGATCCACTCCTGCAGCGTGCATTCCTGCGTATCGCAGTTATAGTAGATAGTAGTAGCCCAGCGCGGGATGATGACCAGACCATCGTACCCATTGGTCGCGACGTTGGTGATGGCCGGCCAGAACGAGTTCTCGGGGTTACGCAGGATAGGCCTTGTGTTGTCGCCGACGACGTAACGGATGCCGTTATCCAAAAAGGCCTTGATGGCGTCGCCGTTGAGCAAGCCCGTGATGGCGGGCGGGATCAGGCCCAGCGGGGAGAACATGGAGGAGGCGCCGAAGCCGATCTGGTTGAGCCAGGCCTGGTTGAAGTAGATTTCCTTGTTGGCGTCGCTGTAGGTGGCGTTGTTGAGCTCCTCGTGCGTGAAGGTGTGAGACACAGAGGCGAAGGTGTTGATGTGGTTGAAGAACCACGTGGTGATGTCGTCGAGGAGCGCGCACTGCAGAGACCAGGTGTAGTTCACGAAAGTGGATTTCCAGAGGGTGAGACCGGTGCCGAGCGGCTTCTTGAAGTCCAGGGGCGTGTCGGGGGGAGACTCGTAGTCGACGGCCTCGGAGGGGTTGCACATGGTGTCGCTGGTGGCTTTGGGGAGGCCCTCGATAAAGTCACCGTTACCGTTGTGGCCCATTTCGATAAAGTAGTTGGAGCCGGCGGGCAGACGGGTGTTGATGTTGCTTTGCCAGGTGGCGTGGGTCTCGAGATCCGAGATGCGGATGCGGAAGTTGTTGCCGGCCGGGTGGTAGATCTCGGTTTCCAAGCCCATGTCGTCGACCTGGGTGGACAGGTGGATCTTGCGCTTGCCGACGAAGAGACCGCGGGTCATCCAGTGGATGAAGCCGTGCTGGAGGTAGTTGGAGGCCAAGGCCCAGTCGGTGGCCCACGAGGTGAACCAGACCATCTGCTGGCGAGTGCCAAAGGTGTTGATGATGGCCGCGGTGCTGGCGGTGGAAAAGGTGCCATCGGAAGAAGGAGCAAACGTGGCAATGGGCTTGGCGATGGTCGAGTTGACGATCTTGGCCGGGTAGTGCCAGAGACCCTGGGTACTCACGCCGGCGCCGGTCTTGACGTTGGCGGTAGGGAAGTCGGAGACGTCCGAGAAGGAGATGAGCTGCTCGACGCCCGTGTTGCAGCAGCCGGCACCGGCAACAGCCAGGTCGACGCCCAAGTCCGTGCTGGGGAAGACGTCGAGGCGGACCAGGCGGACACCAAAGTTGGTCTGGTAGGTGTAGATGGTCTCCCATTGCGCGGCGGTGATGGCGGAGCGCCAGCCGTCGCTGTACTGGTACGAGAGCTCGCTGACGACGATGATGCCGCCGTAGTTGCCCTGATCGGTGCCGGTGGTCAGGGCGGGGAGGGTGATGCCGGCCTGGGGCACCAGCACGATCTGGTAAGGGATGCCATAGCCCTGCAGGCCTTCGGCAGCGGAAGTACCCGAGTAGGTGTCGCGGGCGAGGATGAGGATGGTGTTGGTGAGCGACTTGGCGGCCAAGGCGAGGGTGAAGTGCAGGGCCACCAAGAGGCAGCTCCAAGCTGCGCTCCTAGAGAAGGAGAACATTGCGGACAGAGGTTGTTGTTTGCTGCACATGCAATGCAAAAACAAGTGTTCACAAAGTTTAAGCAGTGTAGCCGTAACCCACGACTCAGTCCTACAAGATAGCCGGACTGGGGGATGTGCGTGGGATAAACTGTGTGCTCTAGGGAGGGAAAGCACAACAGGTGAGAGAAAACGAGTGGAAGGACGGCGGTGATGCTTGTGAGAGTCTCACTTCATGGAAGAAGGAAGCGGGAATGAGAGACACAATATAGTCGGACAGACAGAACCACAACAGCAACAACAAAGTTTGTAACTTTGTATATCCTTGTGTGTGTGGATGTATGTGTGTCTGACTTGAACCTTTGATGGTGTGTATTCGTATAGGGATGGAGAAGACGTCCAGAATGAGCCCACTCACGCACACACACGAGCCTTGCTCACACTCTCTTCTGGTTCACGAATATTGGCATTATCACACCCGCTCGGGCATGGCAAGAATGGGCTGGGCATGACAGCATGGTGCTAGCTAGCATGGCGGCAGGCAAGCAGGCTACCATGTCGTTGGGTCGGGTTCACTAGTAACGGAGATAGATCCATATGGGTTCCTGAATAGAATAGGGGGATATCCGAATGGTCTGATGATACCATGCAAGCCTCTGGGGCCCCGATGCTAGAGTGCCAATGCGAAGTGAGAGCCGAGACGCCGAGTTGTTGGAAGAAGAGAGATGAAGGAGACAGCGCTTTGAAGCAGTCAGCCTACAATTTTCAGCTCGATCCCGGTAAGCATTATTGAACGGAGTGCTTCCTACTAGTTTAGTTGTCGCGTGGATCACAACAGTTTCGGCCTTGTCTCGATCTGGAAGATACAAACGAGCTGAAATCTCGTGGGAAGCTAGTTGGAGAGTTTGAGGAGTCCGAGAAAAAAAAAAAAAAAAAGATCCAAGTCGTGTGTCTCATGCAAGCAATCTTTCGGGGGGGCTGAGAGACGTGCCCAGGAACTAACTCGGAACGCCAATGTTGAATTCCCCAAACATGCCATGCGAAGGTTGGGTCTGGGGGAGGGCCTAGTGCTATGCTACTGCTTGGATCAAAGAGAGAGAGAGAAAAATAGCGAAATCGAGATGGGGCTCCCGGAGGGGGGCGCGGCGTCGAGTGGGCGTCAACGTGGACATGCAGCTGGATGGCGTTGAGGGGAACAACCACCAAGCCAGGGGAAGCATCCAGTTAGTTGATCCAGGGGGGGAAATACGGGCTGCGATGGTAGCAATGGGCGTGCGTGGCTTGCCTTGGTGCCCTGGCATGTTACACAGAGAGGAGAGGCGTTGAGGGGTTCACAGTTGAGAGAGGGCTTCACTTCAATCGATGTCGAGGCCAACGGCTCTCGTTGCTTTTCGTGATTCGCCTCGCCATCTTTTTTGTGAATTGGTCAATAATTGTATGTAACATATTGCTCACCTACAGCGGGGGCAGGCAAAATACGATATGTAGAGGCACGGGGGGCAGGCAGAAGATGTTGGGGTAATTGGGCGCAAGTCAGACGATCGGAGACAAGCATAGCGTGATCTGGACGTCCATCTGGAAGCGGCCAGATCCGCGGAGAAGGATCATGGGTGTGAAATATGATGAACGAAGGAATGAATCTGAATTCTTCAGTGTTGTCGTTGAAGCCAAAACATGAACATGGAGGAGATTTCTGGGGTGGTGATGTTTCCATGATGGGCGGACGTTTAGTCTGATAGTTGCAAACACCGGATGTTTCTTGAGCGGTTCAGCGTTTTAGGGTTCAGCGGACTTCCCTGCTGCGACTGGCGGGCAATTGTAGAGAAGCTTTCCTGACGCTGTTTCACACAGTGTTTGTTTTCGTGATAAACAACACGGTGTCGAGGGTACACTGCAATATCCTCTTATAGCAGCGAATCCATGACAGGCTGGCAGCGCCTAACCAGGCAAGCTCACAAAGCCAGAAACAGCGATGGAATGCCAAGACGCAGGGGGGGGGGGGGGGGGAGCCAGCTGTTGTTGCACTAAAAAATGCAAGAGGAGACTGCACTGCATGGAACGAAGTGTCCAGACTGCATGAGCAGAGACTGCACAGGCAACGACCGGGACTGGCCTGGCCTGGACTTTAGCGGAGTGGTCCCCTGTCGGCATCAATCAGTCGGTCGGTGTCTGTGCACTCCTCGCTTCCAGGTTCCATCTTGCTCGGTTCGAGGTCACTCATTCTTTTACTATTCACAATTACACTACCATCACTCTCCTCTCCTCCACTTCGTCGGCCGCAGCCAAGACAGCCTCAACTGGCAGTTGAATGGGGACAACTGATTTCCAAGACCAAGACTCCAAGAAAGAATGTCAAGACAGACGGCCAACACTATAACAGGATGGAGAAGCGGCTTTGAACGGGTGATGAATTGACCGGTCTTTGTCCTCGCCGTTTCCATCACCACCAACGGGCAACACTGCCGCTTTTCTCTGCATCACACAAATTGCTCAAGTCCCGTCTTCCAGTGCCTTTGACACACATTTTGCTGTTGCACTGGGCAGTGGCAGTGACTGAGGTGACAGTGACCAAGCAACTAGACTAGACAAGGCAGATGAGCTCTCGGCTCTGAGACAAGCCTCGACAAGCTGCGCCGACAACCAAACAAACCCGTAGGCGCCGGACTGGAGGTCGTCGCAGAGTTGACGAGACTTGTGTGTTCCGCCTCGTCGACAAACCAGTGGTTGTGCCGTCCTTTGATTACCACCGGCGTCGAGTCATCACCGCTTTGGACTGTCACCGACATACATATCCACTGTTACAACCCCTTCCTGTCCTCGTTGTTGTCGTCGTCGTCGTCTTCCATATCCTTGGTGTTTGTTACATAGTTCATAGTGTTGGCGACGGTTACACAGCAGCACGACACCGCCGGATCCGCATTTTTCTTGTCAATCCTTACCCTTCTTTGCCCTCTTCGCTCCCCATTTACTTCGTATCCGTCTTAATACCCTGCGCGCCTGTCCTTTCCGCATCACTTATACCTACTCTACTACTACACTGCATACCATCCGATCTGGCTGCATAGCGCATACCGTACGCAACTTACTTACCGTCCACTCACCTTCCCTCCTCGGTCAACAATCCCGAACAATGGCGGACACGCCCAAGTCCGGCCAGTCGGAGGAGCACCAGGCAAAGCCCGTCGTCGACGAGGCCGGCCTCAAATCGGCGGGAACTGCCCCACCCCGGCGCCGATCCCGCAAGATCCTCTACATCGCCATCGCCGCCGCCGTCGTCGTCGTCCTCGGTCTCGCTCTCGGACTCGGCCTAGGTCTCGGTCTCAAGGACCACGGCGGCCGCGACGAAAACGAGCCCTCCACCCCGAGTCCCTCCGAACCACCCGTCACCCCCAACGGCACAGTCTGGCAACCCCCCGTCGGCGCCAAATGGCAAATCATCCTCAACTCCGTCCTCGACGTGCCCTCCGCCAACGCCAAGACATCACAAACCCTCACCCCCGACGTGCCCGTCTGGGACTTTGACATGTTCCTCCACCGCAACACCACCGTCATCGCCAACCTGCACTCCCTCGGCAAGCGCGCCATCTGCTACTTCTCCGCCGGCTCCTACGAGCCCTACACGCCCGACAACACGTCCTTCGTCGCCGCCGACCTGGGAAAAACCATGGACGGCTGGCCCGACGAGAAGTGGCTCGACATCCGCCGCACCTCAGTCCGCAACATCATGCTCAAGCGCCTCGACATCGCAGCCGCCATGAACTGCGACGCCGTCGACCCGGACAACGTGGACGGCTACCAAAACGCCAACGGCCTGGGCCTGACCAAGCAAGACACGATTGACTTTGTGCGCTTTTTGGGCAAGGAAGCCTCCAAGCGCGGACTGGCCATGGGTCTGAAAAACGCTGGCGAGGTCATTGAGGATGTCCTGGACGTGGTGCAGTTTTCGGTCAACGAGCAGTGCGCGCAGTATAACGAGTGTGATACCTTTGAAAAGTTCACGGCGGCGGGTAAACCTGTGTTTCATATTGAGTACCCTAGTGGTGCGCCAAAGTCGGTCAAGACGCAGGATAGCAGGAAGCTGTGCGGCGCGACGGGCGCGGATAAGTTCAGTACTGTGTTGAAGGGCATGGATCTGGATGCGTGGGTGGAGTACTGCGATGGAAACGTGGCGGAGACCAAGGTTGCGAATACCTCCTCTGATGATGGAGATGATGGGTCGGATGATGAGTGATGGATTAATGATGTCTTCTTGGTGAGATGAATTGTTGGATGAACTGCTTGCCTTACCTTGTTACATTTACTATCTACTTGTATGGTACTGGGATTTCCCATGGGGTGGTGGGCCTTTGCATCGGAAAAAAAAAAGACAGTCGCACTAGAAGTTGTGTGTTCTCGCTTCATTTTCAGCTGTCGTTATTGTTATTTGTTGTTGGTGGCATTTATGCATGCTGTACCTCATGTTTGCTTAGTATAGTTCGTTATCACGATAATCACATGTGGTGTCGTCGTGGTGTTGTTGATCAATGATCACCATATCACACACACCTTGCCCACGAGGAGGCGGCGCGGCCCAGCACCCGACCGACCATCACAGCGCACATCACACCCAGCACAGCCAGCGCAGCCCACTGATGAGCCCGGCGTGGCCCAACAAGGCCAGCGAAAGCTGAAAACCCCGTATTTGTATGTAGGTACGTAGCATGGTAGCAAAAAGGCGCAGATCATCACCACACATTCCTCCGTGGCCGTGGTACGACTGCTGCTATTCCGAAATCGTATCTAATCACGACGTCCGGTCGTCGGAAATCTTTTTTTTTTTTTTTTTGTTTAAAAGTTGCATAGGAATTTGGCAACACCAACGAGATTTCTTCCATGTTATTCTTCAGCTCATTCGGTTTTCTGCATCTTTGACAGCATAGCATCTTGTCAATTTTGTTCCTTGCCGACACTTACCGTCCGTACCTACCTTTACTATCCTGCCTTTGGGCACGTACCGGACCTACCTCCGCAACTCCGTTCCTCCGCTCCGTCCCGTATTGCATCCACCGGGTGCATCGCCGGTACCTCTCTCTACCAACAACCTCACCACCTTCACACCAATCACTACCACCACTCACCTTTCTGGCCCACCACACCACCCATAACTTCACACCAATACGAACTACCAAAACACCCAAGACAAAATGTCCACAATCCTCATACCCCTCTACATCTACCCCTCCTTCTCGTCCTCGCACGAGTCCTCCGGCTGGGCCCCGCTCTTCCGCGCCCTCACCACGGCCCTCACCAAGAACCCGTCATTGGAGTTTCTGGTGGTTATCAACCCCGGCAACGGACCGGGACCCGACTACCCCATCCCCAACGCCGATTACCGCGCGGCTCTATCCAAGCTTTCGGACACCACACAATATCCCAATGTGAAGGTCATTGGGTACGTGCATTGCAGTTATGGGCAGCGGGAGGTGGAGGAGGTGGAGAGGGATGTGAAGGCGTATTTGGGGTGGTTGGAGTTTGCGGAGCGGGGAGAGTGGGTGAGTTACTTTTTTGTTTCTATTTCTATTTTTGTGTTTTTGCAGTGGTTTGTCTCTTGTTTCGTTGTCTCTGTTTTTGCCTTCGATTGGTGGTGTTGTCGATTCAATCTGGGGCCCGAGAGATGTTGGGCGATTGGGTTCCAAGTTTGAACTGGACTAAAACTCAAACTGGCCGGCGCCATCGAGATCGAGATGCGATAACTGGCATTGTCAACCCCATCACATGACTTCACCAGCATCGTCATCAGGAGGATCACCGACATTGCATCGCATCGCATTGCCTATCGCTAGCAATTATGCGCCGGCGAACACGGGTTTATGGCAACATTGCACCATTACCTCCGAGTCTCCGATCCAGCAGCCCGGCAAGGGTATCTCTCACGGCGCCCGTCGAGCCGCCGATCACGGATACCAGTGGCTCTTAAAGATCGCCGGCGCTTGGACACCACCTTGTCCGCACCTTCGGGTTGTCCGCACCGTGTCCCCGACCGGCCGGAGTCCGGGACACGCACCTGAGCCTGGAACTGTCATCATTAGCGGCACCGGGGACGACCTTGGTTCTTGTGCGCTCGGCCGTTTGGACCCTTCTTGGCTTGATTTCAGAGTTTGACTCAGTGGAGCATCTCCGCCGACAACAGCCCGCTGCCGATCCGCTCGCCGAGAACAAACAATTCTCCGGTCCTAGGTTACTACGCCGAGGGTCGGATGAACACCCGAACCGTGCGGTGCGGTGCCAGCGATCATGCTTGTCCAAATGTTTCAGAAGAAACAAGTCTGGACTCTTACTCCCCCTACAGCAAAAAAAAAAAAAAAAAAAAAACTGGGAAGAGGCGTCCCAACGGGAAATTAGACTTCGTCACTTCTGACGGGTCGGACTGTTTGGCTCGCCCCCGAAACACGCACACAAGCAAACTCCCAGTTCAATCAGCCTAGTTTCAAACAGGAATGGCAGTGCAAGCAGGGTTCCTTGGACACACTTCGGACGAAAGCTCGAGCGTCTGAGTGTCTCCCACTGTTCGTTGTGTCTACATCCCTCCTGTTCATCCCTTCCTCCCTGTTTCGTTGTTTTCTTGGGGAAAAGCTTCTTTGCTTACTTGGGAAAAGCTTGGCCTCCACTCAGTTTCCGAATGGGGCCTCCTCCACTGGGATGTCAAAAGATCCGGAGCTATCGACCGAAGCTCAGCTGGAACTGCTTCTGGAGCTTGCTGAGAGACCCCACTCCATTTTCGCCTCGGGAAGAAGAAAATTCGAGACTTCAGCTGGCATTGCTTTGTTCCGAGGCAAAAGAGCTCTTGAACCTGGTTCTACACTTCTTGGAGACTAGAGCACACTTGTGTTTCTTCCGGGTTTCGGGCCTTGTGTGGAGGAGTCCTCATGCTCACGGGCCTCAAGGTTGGCGGTCAATGTCTGAGCGAAAAGCAACCGAGATTTCGGATTTCCCAAATTTGCTTTTTCGTCTGTTTTTTTTGGCGAGTCCGCTCTGCTCCAATCCGGCTCGGTTCCTACCCGGCTCGGTCCCAGCCCGGGCTCGGCCCCACGGGGATCTTGGCGGGGAGGATCTCAATCTACCCTTGTTTTTTTCCAATGGGGTCCCTGTCCTTGTTCGCTGGCAAGCAGACTGGGATAAGGAGCCTCAAGGACCCTGTCTTGGCGATCGATACGAGACGTCGTGCAGTGCACGGCCCACTCTTGTGTTTCGTCCCACTTCCCGCTTTGTGTATCAGTCGTACCAAAGTTACCATACATACCACTTGTAACGACTTGTAACTGACTTTCATCTCGTGAAACAAACAGGCGATCCGCTTGGACGGCATCTTTGTCGACGAAGTCCCAATAGACGCCCAGTATCTCGACTACCTCCAGCGCATCACGGACAGTGTACGGTCCGGCTTTGCTGAGGTTGCATATCGCCGGAGCCATTGTGATAATATTAATAGCAGCGACAACACTTCTTTGTCAGCACCATCGTCATCGACAACATCCTCGACAACCGGACTGGGCATCGTGATCCACAACCCAGGCATCTTCCCCTCGGTCGACTCCTCTGACGCCTTCTTCTCTCCTCGCCTGGTGGATTACGTGGTGGTGTTCGAGAACTGCCTCGCCGCTTGGTGGGACTCGGGTGACTATGTCAACGCTAACCTCGCTCTCTTGACGCCCGAGAAGCGGGCCAAAGCGATAGCTGTTGCTCACACCTGCGGATGTGGTCCAAAAAGCCAAGCAGGTGGTAGCAGTGGCGGCCGCCCCCAGCAGCCAGATTCAGAAGGTCACCATGCCGCCGACGCAGAGAAGACCGAAGGCAGTGAAAAAGAGGCCATCAAAAAGAATGTGCAGAACTTTTTGGACGAGGTGGTCACACAGCATAAACTTGCCGGACACTTTGCCACGTCTGCTACTGACTATGCGACGTGGTGCTCGGGTTGGGAAGGTTATGTGGAGGTGGCGTGTGACTTGGGCGGCAGCAACATGTTGACGGGCGAGGCCAGTGAGGAAGGGCTTCATGGCTGAATCGGGGTTGTTTGTTGTATGTGCCTCCCGCAGGTAGATAGACGAGATAGAGCAGTGGTGGTATAACCGGAATAGACAGGTATAGAATCTCCAAAAGAGGCACTATCTTGATGCCTTTGGAGCGAATCTCGGCACGCCGCTGGGTCTCACCGTGTTCACCAAAACAATGAAGTGATGGTGGTGGGACTGAGGTAGAATGTTCTTCCGGGCTTGTTGGCGATTCTTCTTCTTTCAGGGCGGAGGTTTTCTTTCACTCGTCTCATTCTCCTCGTCAGCATGTGTCAATCTGTCAGATTTAAGACAGCACGCCCCGCCGGTATGTCTGTACGATGTACGCATACTTGACAGCTCGTAAACCGGGTAAACTGAGCCGGCTGAACCGTCTTTCTGGTGCTTGGTATTGGCGGCCGGTTTGTGCGGTTGAACCACTGGCCGTACAACAAACAACTACCGGCGTGCAGGAAGCATACCTGCTGGCGATACTATATTGAGAAAGATTGGTGGTGAGATCTTGGCGTGAGCAGGATGTTCTGACACACCGCAAAATGGCAAATTGGCATAATGGCATAAGGTACGTTGTGAACTGTGGTGCAGCACATATTCATGCCTACCTTCCACTTAAGCCGTATTGATACAGCCCCGCGACAGGCCACCAACAGGCCGTTGGTGAGATGGGTTTGGTGCAATTTGGTGCATTTGGCACACCGATCGCATGTGTGGCTTTGGGGGCGCGTTACACGGCATCTACCCCGTATGGGGTACGTCGCAACATGCCTGTTTTCGGTCAAGGACCAAAAAAAGAAATGTTCACGAACATTTCCGTTTTCCGATGCAAAAACCTGGATATGGCGTTGTCGGGTTGCCAAAATGGCGAAATCGAGGTGAAATCGTGGTGTCCCTGTGGTGAGTCGTGGTGGTTCTGTGGCTGGCTGAACGGCGCGCTCACCCGATGCGCACACCTACGAACGCCCAACCTCAGGCTGTAACGCAGGTAGTCAGACTGGATTGACAGGGGCCATTGAGGCACCCGACGTGAAGGGAGGGCACACTGGGCAATGAGAGACCTCCATCTCATCAGCCACCTTCGTGATGGTCGACCACACGGGCAGCACCCAACCCAGCTTCCACCAGTGTCAGTGTCTCGGGAAGTCGGTGTGGCTGTGGCCAACGTGGAATGTGTGCCTGGTGCCCTTCTCTGCCCTTGCGTGCCCTGGGTTGTGGTGCCTGGTGTGGTGTGGGCGTTGCCGGCCCGCTCCCGTGTTGCCTTTACCACGACTTGTTGTGGCCAGCTGAACTCCAAGAGCCTCTGTTTAACACCTCGACGACATCGTTTTCACATCAGTCAGCAACCAGCTGTGCGTGGACGTCGGCTGTCGCGATCATGGCCGTCGTACAGAAAAGTCTTTACGAGCCTCGTTTCTGCTGTGACACGTTGGACAAAACCCGAGAGCCCAGAAAACCCGATGGCGACAACAGAGGCGGAACTGGAGCAATTGCCTTTCTGTGACTCCGTGACGAGCTGTGTCTGCACAAACCGAACGAGTCTGCAATCTAGAAGTGACCAGACGGCAGAAAAATCTCGAGGACGCGCGGGATTTGTGCAATTTAGTGCAGACGAGCGCTGTGAATGGTGAATGGAATGCCCTGTAAGCTGGCCTTGTTCTGTACCAAAAGGTGCTGTACATATGCTCACCCGACTGCAGCATGCGGTGCCCGTCCCAATTGTAGCGCCCCAATCCCGATGCACATATCAACCCACGCCGCCGACGCTGCCAGGTGGTTGGCCTTCAGCCCTGCCCGAACAGTTCAACTCATGACGGCCGCCCATCACGTAATTGTATTGATATCTTGTGGTAGTGGGCTGGTACTGGTTGGCGAGGCTCCGCGTAGTCTTTTATTCCCGAATGTGGGCGTTGCTCCGTGGCCCTTGGCGTGAGCACTATCACCACCGGACCGCACCACCGCATCGACAACTAGCGAGACGGCATTGACAGACCCAATCTCACCAATGCACCCAGTTTGAGCTTTGGCATACCTACCCACTCGCCTCTTCTACACTACACATGTAGTGTATGTGTATGTGCCTTCTTTATGCCGTCGGATTCACGCTGTCACGCTAGTTGGGGCTGAGAATACGGCTCGCTGAAGAATGTCTGGACCTTGGAGCCAGTGACTGCCCGGGGATGCTTGTTCGGAGGTGGCGAGTATCTAGACGGATTCTGGCTCGAGTCCGGCTGCTAGACTGGCTCGACTGGATCAATAGTCTCCTTCGATAGTCGGTGTCACCTACTGTACAGCTGAAGAGCTGACAGCGTCGCGATGGTGGTAGGCACCGGGGAACATGAACAGTAGGACGGCCAAGAGGACAACAGACAGACCGGAGTACTTGCTAGGGCTTACTCGTTGAACTTTTCCTGCCGCACCCCTGTTTGTAGTGTACGCGAATAAGTGTGTACTCCAGTACATGGAGTATTCTTCGGAGGAGTCGGTCTGGCAGAAGGCAGTGCAGGAGAAGGTTGGTTGGGGCCATGGTGGGATGACATTAGAACATAGATGGCGGCATCCCGCCTCGAGACGGAGTTTGGGGGTTTGAAAGTTCCTTCCTGTGAAGATTTGCCATAGCAGACGCCAGACACTCCGTCAGACAGACACACTTGCCCAACATGAAGTTCTCCTTGTCCATTGTTCTTGCTGCCTTTGCCCTGCAGTCCACCGCCCTCTTGGTGCCCATGGACGCTCTTTCCTCCAACTTGGGCTCTGGTCTTGCACCCGGAGCGGCCGAGATCCTTCCTCTCGAGGTTCGGGCAGGCAAGAGCAACTCCAGGGCCAACGGCAAGGGCAAGCAAAAGCACAAGCACGCCCACGGAGTGCGGCCCGACTTCCGCAAGCAGTGCAAGAGCTTGCCATCGAACTGCCCGCCTTTCCTGAACAAGAAGGCCGTGAGTGCTTCCCCAACTTTGATTACCTGACGATACTACTTACTTGCCCAGAGCGGAGTGTTGATACTTAGGTACTAACTCATTCCTGGACCAGATGTGCGAATGCAAGGCCGCCGCAACGGTCGCTTCCTACTTGGAATCCGAGAGAGGATGTCCAAAGCCGTCTCAAAAGGTACTTGAGCCTCACGACAATCATCCTGGGGTCTGGCCCGATGTTGGATCTCGAATGAAACTAAACTAACCATGATGGGTTAGGCGTGCTGATTTTGAGTGCGATGTAACTCGGTTTTTTGACGAAGTGACGGAATGTCGATATGAGATAATGCAGCGTCTGGGTTGATGGGATTACTTGGTTTTGTACCACAGGGGGGCCTCTTTATTATGCCGTAAAGTGAAAAGAAAGTTGGAGTTCGGTTTGGACACAGATTGAGAGATACTTTGACGCAGCAAAATAAAGAAATGCAAAAAGCCATGTCCATTATGAAAAAGATGGCTTGCGATCTCTTGTCATCGGATAGCTGCAGTGAGCCCTGTATCAGCGAGGAACATATAGAAAGTGAAGGTGACATGCTTCCGTAGTACAGTATGTGTTCCTCGTCGCCATCACCCGTCAGCAGCGTGAACGGATGGCTTGAAGGATTCAGGTCCCTGTTGCAGGTAGTGTACGCAGTAAGTGTCCAAGACTAGGTACCTAGCTCCAATTGACATTTGTGTGGCCATCAAGGTACACATGGCTGACTTATAACCCACATCGTTGAGTATCCCTAACACTACTCCTTATAACTGTCACCCAATAACGTTAAGAGTCAAGGTCACAGAATGAGGGGCAAAAACCCATTAACAGCTGTACGCGCCCTTCACCACCACCAACTGTTAATGATCGTCATACTTTGGGATAATTGATTTTCGATCGACTTGAATTTCTTCTGACGTCAATCCGTCGTCAACTATCATCATCACTCAGAGTATAGTCTACAGTCTACACGTACAGCTTGGATGGCCAAAAAAAATTAACAAAAGAACCAAAAGAACCCAACATGAAAAGTTTTGCGTGAGACCAGCGACCCTTTTGCTCAATGTACCCAAATTGGTACCCCGGAACTAAGCGAAGAACACCAACCAACAAAAGAATTCAAATAAAAGAAATCAAAATAAAAAATTAAAATAAGCAGCACAGCAAACGTGCCAACCGGATCTTTTCCCATCCAAAAAGCCAGACCCAAAACAGTCGAGAGAAACAAAACAGTAAGAAACACGCCAACGATTCACTTCGCTGTTGCGCTCGGGATATCATCAATCAAACACAAGAGAAAGGAGGAGAGAGCAGGACGACTAGGGGTCAACGTCATGGCGTCCGTCACGACCTCAACGCTACCTTGGACACGTAGTTCCATAGGTCAGCAGCGCACTTGGTGATGCTCTCGCGAGTCGACCACCCGAGCTCCTTAGCCGCGCGCTCCGTCGACGCGACACACATGCCGACATCGCCAGGCCTCCTGTCAACGAGAGCGAGGGGAATTTCACGGCCAGCCGCCTGCTCCAAGCTGCGAACCGCCTCGAGAACCGTCGTGCCCGTACCGCTGCCGAGATTGAAGGTGGAGAATCCGTTGCCCTTCTTCGAGTTCCAATTGAGCGCCGCAATGTGCCCACGGGCAACGTCGAGAACGTGAATAAAGTCACGGATGGCGGTACCGTCTCGGGTCGGCCAGTCAGATCCGAATACATTGAGGTTTGAGCGGTCGCCCTTGAGGACTTGCGTCAGCACGGGGAAGAGGTTGGTCGGCTCCCCGCGCGGGCTCTCGCCCAACACACCAGAAGGGTCGCATCCAACGGGGTTGAAGTAACGGAGCGCAACAATTCGCCAATCAGGGTCCGCCTCGGCCACATCCGCCAAGATGGCTTCTCCAAAGTACTTGGTGCGCGCATACGGGCACGACAGACCCTCGATGGTTGGCTCAACAATGGTCGTCTCTCCGGCCTCGTTCTGTGTCTTGACCTGGTGGTGGATGAGGTCCTCCTCCTTCAGTGGCAGGCCGGCGTTGGCCTTGGAGCCGTACACGGTGGCCGAGCTGCTAAAAATAAAGTTGCGGATGTTGAAACGCTCCAGCTCCTGTAGCAGATTGACTAGTCCACACACGTTGTTGCGATAGTAGCGCAGGGGCTGCTGGATGCTTTCGACAACCGACTTGTATGCCGCAAAGTGGATCACCCCCGCAATCCGGGACTGGTACGACACCACCTGCTTGCCTGACGTAGCGTCCACCGTCATCACCAAGTTGCTGTATCTCTCCAGGAGCACATGCATGGCCTTGCTGCGGTAGTCGATACGGAAGAAGCGAAGACGGGGCATGGGAACGCTGTTGACCTTGCAGTGATGGGCCGCCAGCATTCGGACGTTCTTCAGAACCGTCTTGTAGCTGTTGCTCAGGTTGTCCACCACGATAACTGCGTACTCGTCGTTAGTATACTTGCTTTCACAAGGGGTCATCATCAGCACTCACCATTGTGTCCCTCACGAAGCAACTCGAGTGTTGTGTGGGAGCCGATATACCCAAGACCACCAATCACCATAATGTACTTCTCCGAACCATCAGCCGGCGCCTGTGTTGGTGCGAGGAGAGCATCTTCAGACGGCACATCAAAGTCGAATTCCTCATCAGACAGCGCAGGCGTGGTGAGTGGGGAGCTGCCGGCGGAATAGTCGCGGGATGACGAAGACAGATACTCTTCAGAGAGGTCCTGATCCTGGACATGATCTCTGAGATCAATGCGTGAACTCGAAGTGCTCGACATGATGAATATGAACAAGAGCTTGTGAGAAGATTCGCAGTGTAGGACTGGTGAGCAAGTGTGAGGCAAGGATGGGGTTGATCACTGGCCTTTTCTGGAGGAGCTGCGTCGAGGGCTTTTATCAGAAAGAGCCTGGGCTGGTGACAGCACAAAAAAAAAAGAAACCAAGATGGCAACCCTCTTCCCCGGCAGCAAACCTTCTCCATGAACACAACACCAAACAAACAACCAGTGCTAGAAGGCCCGACCAGCCAACCGATACGGTTACATCCCGGAAGCCGGCGGGAGGGCGGCGAGTATCAAGCTGAGATTATGCCAGCGCGCCTTTGCTGGCATATCGTGGCTCCATGTTCCTCCATGCCTGTCATGCTCTCGTCATGAATCCGATCCAATTTCCGTTCCGCGAGACCGAATCAATCCTAGCTTGACCGGGACCAGATGCTCGACATGCCATGCATCAGAGATCGTTTGGCCCAGCTGAAGCAAGTCTCTGACCCCTAGAGTCCCCTGGACTCCGCCGGATCCCAGCTGAAGGCATATTTCTAGACAACCAGTTCCGCAAGCTTTTTCCCCACAGGAGTCTCGGCTTGTCTTTGCTCCATCCAGCTACCATGAAGTTGCCATGCTCTGATTCAAGCTTCAGGGCGTCCAATCCGCACTGACTGACATCACCCAGACCATTGCTGGTGGCGCTGTGCAAGTGAGGAAATCTTAGGAGTGGATGGCATCAAATTCGTTGTAACGCGACTATTGTCACCAGCCGTATCGGGTCCCACGTCCGACTCTCACGCCTACGTTGTGCATATCCAAGGTGCTACCATACGCTACAGGCTGCCACTACGAGCAATTCAGCCGATAAATGAGTTGGACAGATGAGCCCGGACGCTAATAGAATTTGATGGAGCATGGGGGCGGGCACTCGGGAGGCTCATGTCATACGGGGTAAACCTCAGACAGGCACAGGCACAGTATAAGCTTACTATCTTGTCGAACATTTTTTGAGGTTCCTTAATCTGCAACAACGGGAACCCCGGCCTCCCTACATAGTCTGATGCCAGGCACTAGCATGATCAGTCTCGAATCGAGAGACTAACAAGGAGCATCCACCTTTGGACCCTCCAGAAAACAAAATGAGGCTCTCCCTTGGTCTTGTGGCTTTCCATGCTTCTTACTACTTGGCTCACTGGCCTCACCGCGGCAACCGCAGGACGAGAATGTTGCCAAATCATAGCTTGGTGTTGTAGCCACTATCACAGATTTCAAGACATTGGGTCTCAAAGAGCACCTTATTTTTATGTTCGACACACACTTCCCGAAGCCCGCCTGACCAGGATTTAAACACGAAATCCGAAACAGCAGGAAAATGGGCAGAACACATAATGCCCTATTCACGTGAAATCGGGTTCTTCCTGTAGTCATGTCGCAAGCCCATTTCCGTGGTGATCGACATCGACTGCGGTGCCGGCGTGTTGCTACCGTGTAACAGGATTGGATCTAACTAGGATTTTAAATATGGAAATGGGGTTACTGTATGTAGTGTACAGTGGCAGAGCATGCATCAACAAGGGGGACACTACAGTAGGTAAGTGACAAAAAAGCAACAAGCCAGCCAGCATCGGAAGTTGCAGCTCTCATCTCACCACCACCCACATGCCGTAAGGTACTGTCACTACCTTGAGTGAAGTCCGCGTCGCGAGCGAGCAGTCGTTGTTGGGCCAACCAATGACAGGCGTCGGCACTCGGTCCCCCACTGTGTACTGCGCATGTAATTGTCCTGACTGTCGAATGGTTGTCCTTGGCGTCCTTTCCCTCTGGCGGCGGAGGCGGCGGGGGATCGTTTACCGGGATCACGGCTCGGACGATGTTGTCTTAGGTCCCCTTGTTGGCCCTAGGGCACAACTTGGCAACTTTTTTGACGGCACTGTATGAATGCGATGACGGGAGAGAGGCACGAATTGGCCGGGCATCAGTAAGTTCCCTTTTTTTTTTTTTGTGGAATTTCCCTTGTGATTCTTGTTGGAGTTTCTCGTATACACTACGTGAAACCGTTGTTTTCCCCCGTGTGGGTTGGCTTTCATGTTTCAACTACATACCTACTACACTACAAAGATACCTCTTCAGGGCTACCCCAGGTGTTATTCCTCCTTCATTCGGACCCTGGCCAGCAACCCACGTTAATGTTCAAGCAAATATGAAGGGTTGCCGCATGGCCCCTTGTACCTAGGTACCCAGCTATGGATGTGCATATCGTGACGATGCTAAGAACTTTTGTGTGTAGCATTCTGGGCCTGTCTGGTCGTGGCTTTTTATTCCGACTCACGCTGCGATCAGATCATCTCGTCACTAGTGTGCGGCCTTGTTGAAATTTGGTGTCCATATCGCTGACGCTTGGATATTGGTATGTAGTCAAGTCTGGTGAACTATTGGATCGTTGTAGTGCACTATCCATCAGGATACTCGGTTTTCCAACACTGTTTGGACCCAAGAATCAAAAACCAAAGCGCTGACACAAGCGGCTAGCCGACTGGGGGCACATGGCGATGCCTTCTGGAAGCCCCTTGCAAAGTTTCGGAACTGGTGGAGAAACACCCGTCCGTATTTACCATGTTCGGTACGACAATACACAACACTACACGGCCCCCCGGCCGGACAACCTTGTACACGTGTACCGCTACGACATGCGGCTCGTTCGCTCGTTTTTGGCTCCTGACCAACCAAGCGCATCACAAAAATTACACTACGGCAAGATTCGCCTATTCTTGGATTCGTGGAATCGTGGAGTCGAGAACATGCCCCCCCTGCCATTACAAGGGCCTCGGGAGGCGGCACTTAGCGTAGTTGTATCGTACACTACATACACTACGGGCAGAGACTGCCAGCGGTGGGAGGAGCTTCAGGCACCTCCGATCTAGGAATCATCCTTTCTCTCGCTGCGTCCATGGATGTTGCCAAAATTCTCCCCTTTGGGACAGACGTCAAATTACACCCGCGCCTCCAGTACCACGACAGACAGGGCGCACTGACAGAATCACAGATTTCGAGACACGCACGAGCCGCTGGATGGATGGGTAACGACCTGAAATAGGTAAAAGGAACCGGGCCAAGAAAGAGACAGACACCAGGGCGACCAGACCAGGGCCCCAGAGTAACAGACCTCTCCCCAGGCGTGCTGAAGCCAAGCATTCGCTAAGAGGCGCTCAGATGCATATGGTGCGATCCGCAAAGTGGACGACGTTTTTTCTGGCAGACAACGAATGAGATACGAATTGGGTACTAGTTGTCCCTCTTCGTAGGACGAAAAAAAAAAAAAAAAAAAAAAAAAAAAAAAAAAAGAAAGAAACACTAATGGTCAGCGCTTACGCAGTACACGTTACATACCAATTGGGAATATTACGCCAATTCCTAAATCGAAATGGGTTGGAAAAAGCTTGTGATACGCCCGGGGTTTCCAAGATCGACTCCAATGGCCATCCCTTGCAACTGCAGGTGCATGATGGCTAGCCTTTTCTTCGAAATTCTCTTAAGCACTCGATTGTTCTTTGCTGGCACTGGGGTCCAGCTAAGCACTGGTTGGATCAGCGGGATGGCTCACCCCCCAAGGGTAGGTAGGTATGATCGCGTACGAGCTTTGTTTCGTACCAGTCGGTGATACGGTACCATGCTTTGTCGTCGACTTCGTTTCGCACCCTTACATTTCAGCAGACCCTTTGGGAGTGACTTCCCCCCCCCCCCTTAACCCCTCTGTTAAGTGTGGGTCGGGCATGGCGACATGGTGGCCGCCGCCCGCCCGGTGCCGCTTGAACTCGAGACCGACCGGGACGCCCCGGTTTTCCATTCAACTTCACTTTGTGAGTGAGGCTGTGAAGACGATTTTTGTCCAGTGTCACATACAACCGTCTCGAACATAGTGTGCTTCCTATTCTCTCTTCCAGTGCTTTCACACCAAAGCATCACTTGCAGACGGGACCTCTTCCTGTCTTCCCCTCTGGATACCTTATTCTTGGCCCGTCTCCTCTCTTTCAGCACGTCTCTCGTTTCAATAGTATGTTCATGTGGCGATGATCACTCTTTAGCTTTTTTTACTGTACACATCATCACCGTCCACCGCGAACAGAAGCGCCATCTTATAATCGTTAATCCTAATCGATCGATTCTATCAGCGGGGACGGCGCTGTTTCGACATCTCATCCACACATGTTCTTTGCCTAGGATTCCAACCTGGGTCAGTCCTTTGCACCCTACCTACTACGTCTTTAATCAGTTTCACATAGCCCGTTCCTTGCTGTTGTCACCGGGGCATCGCCATTGACTGGCAATGGCTTCCATTTTCTCACCCCCGGGGGGCGCCGGGGACCCAGTACTACAGATATGCCATGGCAATAACGACACCGACCGTCTGGTCTACTGCAACAAGATACTATCTTCAGAGGAGAGGCTACAGACCTCATGGCAGTGGGGTACCTTGATAGTGGGAATCGCAGGGTTGGCTCTTCCCGTCCTACTATCAGTGATCCTAACCATATACCATCGTCTGTGTCAGTCAATATCAGACAGTTACACCAAGTGAGTTGACCCAAGACTTGTCTCCTAGCTCCCCAATTACTACCATCACCCATACTGTCCTCGGTATTCATCATATTGCCCATGATATTAACATCCACCATAGACGGAAACGCAAATCACCTCCCGAACGGAAGCAAGCTGGCTCACCACCGTCGCGGCCCGAGTTCAAGATCCCGTCCTCAACCAAGGCTTTCCAGTTCTTGGATGGCGGTGTATCATCAGGCGCCGCCGCCCCCCAGCCATTGGTAGGGGGCACTGTTTACATTAGTCCCTTGCCGTCGTGCACGGACCCCACCCCTTTCCAACCGCTTCAAGCTACCCCAACCCAAGACATCACTTGTCTCGGCCTGGTTGACGCCAAGGACGTCTCCCCTGCCGATGTTGCGGCGTGGGAGACGCATATCTCCGACTTCATCCTAAGTGATGACGTGTCCGGGGTG